ATTACCCCTAAGCTGATCTCTAATTCTTCAATACCCCCTCAATGGCCAGGGGACCTTCGATTATAAAAACCTCACGACTGTCATTTCCCCTGTCCCCACAGTATCGCCGTTCATCCTTCCAGCATACACCCAAGATGTCTGCATCAAACAAGCATTCCAAGTTCAGTCATCTGCCCCGCGCTGCCGTGGGGTCCTTGATCTGTCCTCATGAGGTATTGCACGCTCTTGACCTATAACATCGCGCATACGGATTTAGCAAGTTGAGGATGCTGACTCTGCTGCAAGGGTAGAGACCTCTTAGAGTCCTGTCAGTACAACAAAGGATCTTCCTTTCCGGAGGACGAGCGTCGGGCATTCAAACTACTAGGCCTGCTCCCCCCCAACGTTCAGACGTTGGAGGAGCAGGTCCAGCGAGCCTATGAGCAATACAGCAGCCGGGATAGTGATATCGCGAAGAATACCTTCATGGCTAGTATGAAGCAGCAAAATGAGGTTCTGTACTACAAGGTAGGATCCCAAATTTCGAGAATATTCTCGTATATCAATATCTCAATCCACATGAGCAATACCATTAACATTGGCTAATGCTCCAAAAGTTGTTGGAGACGCATCTCAAGGAGATGCTCAGTATCATATACACGCCAACCGAAGGTGACGCGATACAGAACTATTCGCGTCTGTTCAGGAAGCCCGAGGGGTGCTTCTTGAATATCAAAGAGCAGGATAAGATCGAAGATTGTCTTTCCAATTTTGAAAGCAATGAGGAGATTGACTATATCGTTGTCAGTGACGGAGAAGAGGTAAGCAGATAGGCGGCTAGATGTGGTCAGAACACACGACTGACATCTATCTCAGATCCTGGGCATTGGAGATCAAGGTGTAGGTGCCATATTGATCTCAGTCGCCAAGTTGGCATTGACAACCATCTGTGCGGGAATCCACCCTTCGCGGCAGCTTCCAGTCGTCTTAGACTGCGGGACCGATGTAAGTTAATTCCAGACATGGTCAAATATGTACTTATGCTGGCGCCAGAATGAATCCTTGCTCAAGGACGATTTATATCTGGGACTTCGACAGCCACGCGTCAGGGGAGAAGAGTATGATCAGTTTGTGGAAAAGTTTGTGACAGTTGCAAAGAAGAAGTTTCCAAAGGCATATATTCATTTGTAGGTAACCATCACCCGCAGGACCTGAGCTAGGCTGACCGTCTCTCCAGTGAGGACTTTGGCCTCCATAATGCCAAGCGCATCCTTGACAAGTTCCGCTCGCAGATTCCATGCTTCAACGATGATATTCAAGGGACGGGGTGTGTGACCTTGGCTGCCTTGATGGCTGCATTGCATGTCAGCAAGGTCAAGATGGAGGATGTGCGGATCGTAGTTTATGGGTCCGGGTCTGCTGGCACAGGCATTGCTGCGCAAATCGCTGACACGATCGAAAACGAGGCGGGCAAGCCAAAGGAAGAAGCCAGGAAGCAGATATGGTAAGCACTGTCCGGCCGATCACGCTGTTCTGTGTTATCATCGCGGTGTACTGAATCATGAGCCATATACAGGTGCCTTGATAAGCCCGGACTTCTTCTCAAATCCCTGGGAGATCAGCTGACACCAGCCCAAGTGCCATTCGCACGGGACGACGACGAATGGTCTGGAGAGAAATCCCGAGACTTGCTGGCCGTGGTGAAAAAGGTGCAACCGCATGTGTTGATTGGGACTTCTACCCAGCCTAAAGCTTTCACGGAAGAGATCATCCGCGAAATGGCCAAGCACGTCGAGACCCCAATTGTGTTCCCTCTCAGCAACCCAACACGCCTGCACGAAGCGTGCCCCGAGGACATCAACCGGTGGACAGATGGCAAGGCCTTGATGGCTACCGGCAGTCCATTCCCACCTGTTGAACGAGACGGAGGGAAGTACGAGATTGGTAAGGAAACAGTCCAGTATTGATTGATACGATATCCCAAGCTAATGAGTTTGACCATTGACGCGATGCAGCCGAATGTAACAATTCTACTTGCTTCCCTGGCATCGGACTCGGAGCGGTTCTCTCGCGGACACGCGTCTTGTCAGACAAGATGCTTGTCGCAGCAGTCAAAGCATTGGCTTCGCGGTCGCCAGCGCTGCAAGATCCCAAGGAGCCACTTCTCCCCGACGTTCAGGACGTCCGAGAGATGAGCATCGATATTGCCAAGGCCATAATCAAGACCGCAGTGAAGGAAGGGCACGCTGAGGAGACGGGAATCCCTACGGACGATCAGGAGTTGGATGAATGGGTTCGAATTCAAATGTGGGAGCCGAAGTACAGACCACTGGTGCGACCGCACCAACAAGAGTGAATAAGATCTCTAGGCTTCAATGGGGGTTTTGGGGGGGGGGGGGAGTTGAATTCTTATTAGATATACACTTATACACTACTTGGTGCCACGGCATAGACCATCCATCCATCTGATTCGGTCTTCAAAGGTGCGGTACACAAGCCCGCCATCATCACTCATGACCTCATTGGCACATTGGCACCCATCGTCATCACCCGCGGACACCCCGTCAATTGCTTCGTCTATCTTTCTTATGGTTGTTGTTCTAGATACGACTCAGGACAATAGAACCAGGAACCCTAAAATATACCCAAGAATTCTTCGAGGTCGCCAACGTAGAAAGAACAAAGCTGTCGGGGGGGAAAGACAAGGAAAGTCAGGCTCTTCTTTCTTCCTTCGCAACCTTTCAAGTTAGACTTTGCCCAGCCGAAATGCCAAGTGAGACTCTCAATATCTTGTAATCCCTCCGTCATCAGGGATCTTACTCTCTACAGCTTTCTCTTTCCAAGCACCTCATTAGATTCATCCTTACAGCATCTGAATCACCTTGCAGAACGCAGAACGCAGAACCTAGAACTGGGGGTCGTATTTCAACGGGATGAAGTTTATTCTGTTGACTACCCTGGTGATTCTTCTCCAGGCCTTGACCACCATATCACTGGCTCTCCCGCCATCCGCTCCTGCGTCAAGAGATCAGCCTGGCTATCCCCTAGAAATTGCAAAGCGTCGTGGTGGGGGAGGAGGAGGTCGTGCAGGGGGCAGCAGTAGCGGGGGAGGCAGTGGTGGGCGCACCGGTAGTAGCGGAGGGAGCAGCAGTGGCAGCAGCGGAAGTGGTTCTAGGACTGGGTGAGTTGTCTAATAATAATGCGAGATCCCTTTCCGTGCGCAGACAAAGCTGACTTTTTTCTGACTTTTTTCTGCTCTGTCAGTTCCTCTACCAACGTTGGAGGCTCAACCCGCAGCGGTTCAGGGAGACAACCAGCCTACGGGGGCGGCAAATACTATGCTGGCGGCGCGACCGCTCCCTATACTTCGGGTGCTCGTTCGCGAACAGGCATAACGCCCTATCTGTTACCTGCGACTGGTCTCGCGTTCTTCGGGTTCTGGGCATACAACGTCTACGCCTATCCGTATCCCCATCATTACTATTATGTGAATCAGTCCTCGCACCGCAATGAGTCCATGCCCGTGGTCTGTCTATGCCAACAGTACCTGGAATGTGGCTGTGATGACAACTCCAATTCCACCTACTATGAGTCGCTGTTCAACGGTAGCCAACCAACGAACACAAGCATTACGCGGCTTGCCACCGTGAATGGCACCGACTCGATCTATATCAATGGTACCTTGCCCAATGGGACCACCGTCGCCGATTCCTCTGCCTCAGCCGCCGCAGCTGGACCAACAAGCCAAGTGAGCCTCTCCATCGGGTACTGGACCATCATTGCGTTGGTGGTGGGCCAGGTGTGGGTTTTGTAATGAGGGTCTGCTTCTGTTTATCCAGTTTCTTGCCATAGAATACCCCCTTCTCTTGTTTGCTACTATGTACAGTACTTTTCTGGGTACGGTCTTTTTTGGGTTTTTTTTTGGTTTTTTTCTTTTTTTTTCTTCTTTTCTTTTTTCTTTCCTTTCCTTTTTTTGTCTTGCTTGTTCCCGGTCTTCGAGCCTAGACTTTACCGCTTGGCCGCTTGCTGCAGAACCTGACCGACTAAACTACACCGCGGTCAGACTAAATTAAGGCCCAGGGCAAACTTCACTTCATCAATCTCATTCGCTATTCTCCAACCCATGTTTCATCACTCTCGGCCGTCATTGTCTCAAATTGAGGGTCTACAGACACCAATCTCTTCAACACGGGAAAACGCCTTCGGCTTTAGCCTTCCCAGATCTACACATTTCTTGTTCGTCGACCACTGCTCGCTAAGTTAGTTACCATCTCTATTCCCCATCTGATAATGCCGAGCTATCGAATCTCTACTATACTTACGGTAGGTGGACGGCATCGCTAGATGCCAGGCATTGTAATGTGAATACAACTTGGGGTCGAAATCCTGAATTGACCGATGCTGGGGCCTAATCAGTTGTCTGTCTAGGATCCTTCCTGTCAGCCCCAGCCCTAGAAATAGTCTATGCATACCGGTACAATTGCGTAGACTTCTACTCCGTACAATAAATAAATATGATTGAACAAATACGGACCCAGACAGCATCTAATGAAAAAAAGCCAAGCAGTGAATGGGCACGTCAATCATTCACCCCCCCTCTTCTCCCCCCCACCCCTTTTCCCTCTTATTCTGACACTCCTACCCCATTTCCTCTTTCTTGTTTGTTTTCTTCTGCATCTTTTATGAACTGCAATAGTTACAGCAGTGCTGTCATTCCTTCTGTGCGTTAGATCTGATTTTTGAATCCCTTCCTTCATTTTGTCTCGGTACACAAGAGCAGTCCCTCGTTTGCAGCTCCATCCATTCTTTCAGCCGTGTCTTTATTTCATCCGATTGAATTATTTATACTATTGCAACAAATATACGGATAGATATACATTCCAGGGTGCCTCCAAAGCACACTGCCTTGGCTCGTCGAGATATTTTTCGGCTCCAGACTTCACGCCATTGGAAAACCGTTTGCTTGAATCAGCTGGTCTCATTCCCAGGTCACTTCCAAGTGCTCAGGATAAATTGAGAGCAAAAAAAAAAAAAAAAAACACGTCTCGAGCGACCATGTATATCTCGAATGCTCTTCTGATTGCCTGCGCGGCCTACGCACCATTTGCTACCGCAGCGGTGCAGGCCATACCTGCCGCCGCTGCTATCACAAGGAGCGCTGCCTATCCCGGAGTTTCCTCTACAACACCCACACTGGCTTCCACCACGACTACTTCGTCCCCACTCATTTGGAGCAGCAGCAACATCGACGCGACTGCCACTACCGCCAGCTCGGAGGTTCACCCCGCAAGTTCGTCGAATCTCTCCAGCCACACGCCAACTTTCAGCCTTCACGTCGCCAGCTCTGCTATCGCCAGCTCCGTGCGTGCTAGCTCTTCTGTGGCCGCCAGCCCTTCCTTCACCAGGTCCTATATCACCAAGACCACCGCCCTTCCCACCAAAGGTGCTTCCGCCGACACTAAATCTGAATCCGGATCCTCTACTTCCGCCGACGCAGCCGAGGCGACTGAGACCAGTGCTGCGGCCCCATCCAGCAAACTATCGAGCAGCCTTGCTGCTGGTGTCCTGGCTGCCGTTGGTCTTATCATGCTCTGAGCTCATTTGGTGCAAGTGCCTGGCTTGGATGGTCAAGCTCGGTGTCTCGTCCTCTGCTTGAATATAAAGGGCCTCTCATTCCCTCTGACAGGGGGTACTAGCTACGGTAGCGATGACAGGAGGCCGTGCGGCTGTTCAGTCTACCAGTTCAGCTTCCCACCACGCTATTGTGGAGCTCCTATACTTGTGATGGAAAGCAACAAGCAATTCAGTATTCGAGGTTTGATGTATCAACCCAGTGTTGGAAGAAATTTTACTGTAATAATCCCGAGCGGGAGCTTAGCTTTGACCAGCTTTTTGCCTAGCTTTTCACTTCATCGTGCGTTTTCAGCCATGCGGTCCAAGTCGCATCAAGTAAGTTGCCACAAAGGAAAAGGATTTATGTTCTGTTGACAACGCGGACATAATGAAAGCTAAGATTAGGCCCGTCGAGCTTTCATAAAGATATGCACGAAGGCATAGATGACATTAACGTAGTGTACAGTTGCAGTAAGGTGTTGCGAACAATCGCATCAAGCAACGGAGAGAACATCTTCTAATTGCGGAATGTTGCCTCGTATCTTTTATAAGATTTAGTTAGCACAGAAAGACAGAAGGGAAGTGAATGCACTGCGTACCTCTTTCCTCTGAAGGCCCAAACACCCCAGTTGCCACATGAAACATCATGAGGATCCAGATCATTGAGATCCCAGCGTAAACTGCGGAAAATATTTTCGCCCGGTTCAAGCAGAATATCGAATTCGCCAGCACATTTCTCATGTACCCAGTTGATATCCCGTTCCATATCCCACTGCGTGTAGCCTGTGCTGATGATCGGCACCTTGGTCTCCAGTAGTTGCGGGAGGGTTTCTTCCCACTCGTGAGAGCTTGCCGGGTGTCCGAGTCCGGGATGAAACAACATGATGCAGTCCAAGTATGGATCGAAAGGTTGGAAGTAATTGGCTTTGTACATTGTGTGGAAGTAGTCAACATAGGTCGTGATTTTGAATTGACCTCCAAGTCGGTCTTCGACGACTCCCCCGAATGGATTGCCAGGTGTCCGCTCTGGAAGTGGAAATTCGGCGTCGCGATTCGTCATACTCTCCGGTCCGACGAAAATGAGATGAATGAGAGAGCGTGGAAAGATGTAGCTGAGCTGCAACCAAACCTCTCGCGGCAAGGAAGACTCAGCCCGGGCCCCTAAGATGAAAATGCGGACCGGTGGTGCCTTCAGGCGTAGTCCTCGGATATCGACACCCTCTCCTGTCTTGGGAGGGTGTAAAGTGTATCGCAAGGCTGGGACTGCCAGTTAGACAAACATTCATAGAGCATGTGTGGGGGAAAGACGAGATGAGGAGATTATCGTGATGACTTACCACTAACACTTTTAAGCCCCTCCACCGTAAGCCTCCCCCCCTTTCGGACATTGTAGGGACTCAGTTCATGCAGAACACTCGCTAGTGTAAGCGGATAGGTCAGCATCCGGGTCACTTGCCGCATGCTCCGGTCATCGTTGATCGCCTCAAACTCTCGTGTATAAAGAAAAGTGTCCCAGTTCGTCATGTTGATGACGAAATTATCATCTTGAAGTCCTGGGTAGGTGAACTCCGGGAAAACCCGCCCAGAATGCAAATCATGATCGTCCTCATTGATCTGTCGGATGGTCTCGCAGACCTCCAAGTGTGCTTCAAAGTCATCCATCCAATGCCCCTCCGAGCAATAGATCGGCACGCCGCAGTCGGGACATTCAAAGTGAGAGTGCGCTGGCGGCAGACTCGAGCTCTGTGGGCTCTTGCGCGTCTCTGGGTCGTGAGGAGAGACAGGCAGTCGGGTCTGCTGGTGGCTTGGATGTGGGCAGAAGGCGTTTTGCTTGATGAAAGCCGCACGCTGTCGAATGGCCGCTGCTGGTGACTGAGAGAACGAATGGAAGAGGTTGTTCGGTTTCAACAAAACGCGCGGATCTGGAAAAGTATTGGAGGTGGAGGATGGAGCCTTCTGCACGACCGACCCGAGACTTCGGGACGCAGTCGGGGGAGTCAAGGCCGTTTGCTTCGAGGTTGTTTGGGGCGGGTTATCCGAGAAAAGGAGACCTTTGCTAGAACTGCTCAAACTCCGCACAAAGGCCGGGTTAAACAGGCCATATCCTCCCCTACTAGGCAGTGCATAGTGTGGCAGGCGTACCACAGCCCGTCGGCGGAGTGCGTGTAGGCAGCGACCACAGGTGTACTCACCAGTCATTGCTGGTCGGTACAGAGCTAACATGAACCAGGAAGAACAATAAAGAAAAGAGAAAATGAAGAACGAATACAAGAAGTGGTTGAGTGTCGACTTTCTCCGGCAGTGACAGCGAGAAGCAGTTGTAGGACGGAGCTTACTGAACGGTTGCCAAGCATGCACACGTGACATTCGCGTCCTAGCAGAGTGGTGTTGAATAAGTTTTTATGCTACAGTCGAGATGCAATAGCATCTGCAATCATTCAGCCAGTCAGGCATGTAACGTTTCAATATTAAATCATAGTCACGGTGGGGACAACCACTCATTAAACATACACATCACTCCCCCCTCAGAAAATATCCTCACAGACACTCCAATCGTGGGATTCTCGGCACTTCCAGTAGTTACCGTTGTGTGCCCAGTACTCCTCTCCGGTGACTGGGCACTGGGCTCGCGTGAACCACTTGGGCTGGTACTCGTCCCCGTTGGTCTCGCGCTCTCTGCGCTTGGCTCGCTGCTTTTCTTCCACCCGATGCTTCTCGCTGGCCGCCAAATCATATTCGCCTTCTTCCATCGCACGCTGATCAGGTCGAAGCCGTGTGTCCGTAGGAGGAAGGTGCTCCTTCAGACCTTTCGGCAGAGCGTTGAGGGTGATAACGAACGGAGTCAGGTTGAACGGAATTCCGCTCGGGCGTGCATGACACTGCCAGACCAGAAGCGTCTTGGTTGATTCGGGATCCTGGCCAGACACCGGCGCCTCAAATCCGGGAGTATGGCGCGCATATATCTTATCATTCCACCGGCCGCCAATACTCCATTTCGGGGTTCCATCTCGGTCTACTACTTTCCCGGACACCTGATAGGCAGAGGATGCCTTCCAACCCCTGGGTTTGAAATCCAAGTAGCAAACCTCGCCGGTGGTCCAGTTTTTGATCTCCATCAACCCGTAGTTGTCGACCGTTGGGTTACCAGTAATGATTCCAATCACAGATGAGGTGACTTTCTTCCAAGTATATAATTCCTCTCCTCCGGATGCCGGCCGCAATCGAAGGAACCATGTCCCTAAGAGATTGATATCGAAAGATTTCCCGTAGAATTTCGATTTGAGAGCAGACTCGCCCTATGTTTTCATGGACCAGTCAGCGAATTGATGGCAGTCACTACATTAGAATATTCTAAGAACAAGTACTCACATAGTAATCCCATTTAGTCGACTCAGCCCAGGCAGCGCCTATCGGTGGGTGGTGGCTGACCTGCTCAATAAAGAACCGATAGCCTTTGTCAGGCCGGACATATTCAAATGTTTCACCAAGGAGGGGATTGAAAGGCTTTGCCACACGGCCAATGGTCGATGCATATTCGCTTGCAGCATACGCAGCGACATATAGCAACCGCTCCATGGAGTCGGGTCTATCAGCGGCAATGTCCAAGAGGTCCGCATATTCCAGGTCTTCAGCCACTCGTTGAAGTAACGACGTTGGCTCGTTGAAAGAGACTGGAAGGGTCATCTTCGTCATGTCCTTACCAATCATAGACTTTAGAATACCCTATAATTATTGTGAGCGTTTACCAATATCGGATTTCTTATGCAGTAGGTTGTTGAGCAGTTACTTACCCAGAGCGAGATTTTCGGCCTGTTGTCATAGTCCATTTTCAGCCGTTCCCTGACAGACTCATCGTACCCCGTGAATGAGGGGATTATTTCATTCCGCTTGATGGCTCGAAGCTCGCTACCCTGATCTGGGGACTCCCTCCCGTCATCATCTGTAGGTACAAATGTCAAATCCTCCACCTCAATCTCCCCTGAATCAATTGCATCAAAGAACTGGTCGTCGTCGTCATCATCGGACCCTGAGTCACAAAGGTTGCTGATCTGAGAGAGAGTTGACTGTTTGTGATTGAGCGACTGCCCTGACCCTTTCTCCGTTATCCGCGAGTCTTCGTCAACCACATCATATGTTTGAGTCTCGACTTTTGCAACATCGGAGTTATCCCTGATGGTTTGTGCATGAGAAGGTGCCTTCCCATCAACATGGCCAGTAGTAGCTGACTCTAATGCTTCCCTGAGCGCCCTTTTGGTGCGCCGACGTTTCTCTTCGGATTCACCCATTCGCGACTGCAGTTCTTCATGTTCATGCGCTATCTTAGCCATACTTTCTTCCCACATCTTACGTAAATAGGCCTCACGGTTCAGCCTATATTGCCAATAAGCATCGCGGTCCCTGGAGATCTTCAGAAGATTTTGCACCAAGCCTTGTAAGCTACTCACGGCTGCTCCGTAAGCTACCAGAGCTTGCTCGACGGCCGGATCTGACAGGGTTGTACTCGGGCTTCTCGATTGTTCCGCCTGCATTGAAGCCGCAACGTTGGCGAGGATATCAAGCTGAAGTTTAGTCGACTGTGCGGTGATATTCAGAGCATCTTTATCAGCTGGAGGTATATCGTGGCTGGATGCATAGTCTCCATCATCATCATCATCATCATCATCATCAATATCATCATCTCCGTCAATGTAGGGCACAGTAGTTACATGACCAGTGAGACGGCGGACCGCATTTGATGGTGCAGCATGATCCAACGAGCCGTACAATGAGCCTTCATCGTCTTCAGGGGCACTTTCTAGCGTTGTACGCGATGCATACGTGCTAAGCCGTGTGCCACTACTACTTGGCACCGCGATGGATGATGGAGCCAGGGTTTTCCCACTCAATTTATGGTAGGTACTGAAGCCTGGCGAGTCTGACATGCTCTCAGGTGACCGACCCTCGGTCTGTTCGATCTTCGCTTGGCGTAGCACTTCAGCATGCCTTGTCTGGCGCTTTTCTTCTTCCTTTGCTTCGTCCTTTGCCCATTGTATGGCATTGTTGAGCGTCCAGAACCAGCGCTTAGCCTCGACGACATGGTTCGCCTTAAGATGGTACTTGACTGATGACTTGCCGTAAATTTCAAAACGGGTCTTGTCCTGCGAATCCATATTAAGCCTAGCAATTTTCATATTGATAGCGCCTCGGCAAGCTGAGCCCGCATCATCTGCCAAAGCCAAGGAGCAGACATCAAATTAGCCAGTTTGACATGATTGGAAATGGGTGCGTTTAGCTAGATTTACCTTGATGTTTATAGTAGCTCAAGACCCCGTCCTCCAATACAAACCACCGTAGCTTATAACCACTGGTGTAATTTGTCCATTTCTTCAGATAGCCTCTCATCTCACGAGCTTCTTTGCCAGCGAAGGGAGCTTCGGCTACGCCCACCCTGCCAGAGACGCTCGGGGTCGTTGCGCTAGTTCCTAAAATGGCTTTCTCCTGTATACCACGTTGAGCCATGACAGCGGCCGGGGACTTTTTGACGATTGCACGAGTCTTTTCATCTTTGGTGACGTCTTGTGGGAGCTTACCCTTTTTGTCGCGGCGAAATGGGTCGGCACCATGCATTAGAAGAATCTGTATCAGCTTCGTATCTCTCCTTCTTGCTCCTTCGTGTAGCAGCGTTCCCCCAGAGTGAATGGTAGCAGGATCAGTGACTAGATCCAGGCTATCGACATCCATCACACCCTCAACCCGAGGCTCTTCCAAGACCTTCTCAAGTTTCGCATATTTACCTTGGGAGACTAGTGTTTGAATCTCCTGGGTTTTATGGTCAACGAATAGTGACCGCGCTAGCTGAAGTTGCTGGAATATCTCTGGAGTCCGGGCAACGTCTAGAGCTGTTTGACCACCGTAGTTGACAATTGAGTCATTTAGCGAAGGCCGACTCAGCAGCTCACGAACTACAGGACCTCGTCCTAGCTGGGCGGCCAGATGAAGGGGAGTATTGCCATCTCGATCCTGTGCATTCACATCCAGCTCTTCGCCCGTAGATAGTACATACTCCACGACTTGTGGCTCTGCGCACTGAATAGCTAAGTGGAGAACCGTCGTACCTGACAGACTGGTCGCCCCTTGAGGCTCTTTCGCCTCTTTGATGGCTTTAGAGATAGCGGTGGTGTCGCCGCTCCGAAGAATCTCAAAGAGGCGGAAAGTCCTCACCGACTGGTCGAGAGACATGCTACTGCCTTCGGCGTGCGGCAAAGAGGGAAGCTTCTCGATATTGTCGTCGTCTCGGATGGAGCTCATCGATTCTCGCGGAGGTTCGCCAGCCATCGAAGGCAACAAGTTCGTCTCCTGACGTGAATTGCGGCGGCTGGCGCTTCGCGCGGCTGGTATACCAGGGAAGGAGGACGTGGTGCTGCCGACCGGAGAGGAGGTGGAAGGGGGAGGTGACTGGGCGCGATCGCGACCGGCACTGCCCTGACGACCCTCGCGCGACTTGTCTCGGTGCAAAATCGCCAGCGCCAAAGAACTGCGGGAACGTTTATGTCTAAAGGTCGTAAAGGACATCCAGTGTCAGCACGCCTCAACTACGGCGGTCATTCGAATGCAGGTTCCGGGCCTCTGGTCACATAGGCGACATAAGTCGGCCACGAAGTGTTGAAGAAATGAGGGTGGGCTGCGGATTGTCCAGGAAATCCATCTCGAGATGCACTCACCCTTCACCCTTATCCGTCATCACTCTCTTCTGCTCACCGCGGCCACAATCAGTTTCCAAGCCGGACCCTCTAGACACAGGATGTCAAGTACGGTGTCAGATACAGCGCCAAGTGCAGCGGGAATCGCTGGGAATCCTCGGCTGCGAGGTGGGATGAGGAAAGGAAAAGGGGGCGGAGGTAAGGAAGGAAAAGGAGGCTGGTTGGAGGTCGGCAAAAGAGGGAGGGAGGGGTCGGATCTGGGGAAGGCGGCGCGCGTCACTGGTTTTTGGGGGGTCTCCCCGACAATTGAATATAACTGCTCATCGCTTCGCGTGTTTTGGGCGCTTCGGCAAACGGCTCACGGTCGAAGGAAAAGGTAACATCTATTATATATGGAGTAAAATACATACATAACCCAACAGTCTTAACTGATGGCTGTATAGCCCGAGCTTCACCTAGTCTCTCCACTCACTACGACGATAACACTACCTAGCTGTCGACGAAGGTCTTCCTTGTCGACATCATGGGTATCTTCCACCTCGCCCCACATATCCGTCTGCCACTTGACTTCCATACTGGACGCTTCGGCTGCCTCTTCAATCCCAAATCTCTTCTGTCCGGGTCGTTGTAAGCCACGGAAGTTCTCGCTCCATTCAACGACCAGTCGAGCAGCGATCAGAAGACTCTTCGCTGCGAGTATGCCTCTCTCAAGCGCGGCCAGATCGAAAGCATGCAGATTCATGACCCACTGTTGAATGATATCCTTGGTGACTTGCGGCTGGGATACGGGCAGGATGCTGTCGACATCTAGAATTGGTCGAATATCAACTCCGGGCCAGACCTTGGTACCCAGAAAGGCAATTATATCATTGGCGACCCTCATCTGCGCCTCTCGCAGACTTTCGAGTTTTTCACCATTCTCATTGGTTTCTCCAAGGGAGTCGACAGCTTCAGGCACCCAGCATAACAGCGTGTCGGTGTCCAGATAACGCATCGCGGTCTTCACAATCTGATCCCTTGCGGACGACATGCCTTCCTCATCCTCTCGGGCGATATCTGCCGCCCGCGCCGTGAGAGATGTCAGCGGGATAAGATGATTTTTCAGAGCTTGCTGGGCGGTAGTCATCACATCCCACTCCAAAGCAATCGCATGCGCTAGGTAAGGTTTCGTCGACGGTATGGACAAGGCATCTTTGGACGGCGTTCTTATGGGGCGGGTGTCCAGCAAGACTTCGTAATTGCCTTCTATTATTGGGATCCAGAGCACGTTGGAAATCAAGTCAATCCAAGCCCTAAACGTATATTCGCCGCAGTAGCTGTTCAAGATTTACCTGACTTTTTCCGAACAATGACATCCTTCCAAAAGCGCTTCTTGAGTCCTGAAGAGGGCTTTTCTGGACGCGCATTTGCTTCCTTTTCGAACGAACTTTCTGATCGCAGTCCAGAGCATGCATCGAAGAAAGGCACAGGTGATGGCGCCTTAGGGGGGGGGCCATGGGCAGTAACAGGGTGGGCAACAGCGGCTTTAATGCAGGAGGTTTTAAGGGAACGCCGCGCAATAGCGCCATTATGTCGAGCAGCCAGGGTCGAAACTGCCTGTCTCGACAGAGTTGCGTAGAAATGAGAAACCCGCGGCATTTTCAATCAAAACCAATCTGCAGGAAGGCTTTGATACAGTGGAGAGACAAATGAGAAAAAAGGCGAGGGAGCATGAACTGCTTCCAAGACAGCGTCGGGTCGGATTTCCCACTCACGGGGCACAGAACGGGGTCGGGACGCCACCGGCGCCACAGAATGTGGAATGCGGTCTCCGCAACCTTGGAAATCGCCAGGTTTGCCCAGTGCTACTCGATTGTCTTACTGCATGACGGGAAAAGTATGTGGCTTTACCTCTGATTGTTGTATAAGCTATCTCGTAAACTATCATCGGTAGAAAATTTCTTTTGTACTCGTTCGCAATTTTGTCACTTCTTCCCTCCCGTCAGTATCAAATCCCGTACACTGTAAACCCTGAAGAGATTGTGTACGTCAGATAGCCAAAGACTCCCTCAGTATGCCGTCTTGCCATTCAGTCTTAACACCAAGCGAATGTCGAAAGTAGGCCTTTCTTATGGCTTACCCATTCATTGTGACTTATGGTCGAGATCAAGGCCCGGATACTAGGTAGGTGATGCGCCGCGCAAAATTGCAAGATTTTGGCCTCCAATAAGAATACAGACATCTCATTAGCTATTAATGTTAACGGTATTTAATGATGTGCTTTACAGCTCAGACAAAAATGCACAACAACCTTAGAACGAATGATGTCCTGGATCAGTGCTTGGTGTAGAGGACAGTCTGCTGGCAAGCTATGACAAAGACAAGAGCGAGTCAGGACATCGAGAAGAAAATAAAAAAGCAGAAGAGATGGACAGCAGCACAAGCACAATATCCAAACCCGCACTTTTGTACTTTACATGAAGAGGATTGCCTGTTGATCAGGTCTCTTTGAAAATAGTGGAAATAATAGAAATAACTTGGGTAGATCTGACCGCAGTTCAGTGTTATTCTGGCATTTCCAAAGCCCCAAAGACCCCCAAAGCCCCGATTTAGATCCAACAGCCGTAGCGGAACCAGATGGGTTCGATGAGTGTTGGGCAGGGTCGAGAACGGAAGAACGGGGAAGTTTGAAAGAACACTGTCGCGGAATGGGATACAGAGGCTGGGTAAATAGCCCCGCGAGCCGCTGAAAACTTGATGGGCCTGGTCTAGAATGGGATTTCTCAGAATCGGTGTCATAAGGGCGTCTCATCGTTAGCACGAGTCATAGCATCACGTGGATATAGGATGGTGTGAAGGACGTTGCTGTCCTCTCAACCAGGCTAGAGAAATATGGACATGGTGTTTCGATGATCAGACCGGTCCAGCCTTAGTCTCACAAGCACGGGCGATTTAGCATGGGGAGTGGAACGTCTATCGCTTTTGGAGTGTGCAGTAGCTGGCATTATTGCGTGATAAATTTTGGGTAATATGGCCGTTTCATGCGATCTATATCTGTTCGCTTCTTCATACGTTCGGCGTCGTAATCGTCAGCGCCATCTCTGCTACCCCATGCAGTCTACAGGGGGATCCCAAGTCAGCTGATGAATTCGAAAATCGAAGGATAGGCACGCTCCCAAAAACCCCGCACGCGGCATAGACCCAGCAAGTCTTTGGATAGCGAAGGGACAAACGAAGGGAGAGTTTGTGTATGAATGAAAAGATAGGTGAGGGGTTTATAGTACTGAACGGCACTTGAAGGGTTGAGTACAGGTGACGATAAACAGGAAAAGTGAAAGTGAGAGGCGAATGCGGATGGAATGGTGGTTGGAGAGGAGATCGCCTCGAAGATCCAGGAGGTGGAGTAGAATAGGTCGGGCGGCAAACATAGCTCGGAATTACCCAGACAGGGAAGGCCGTTCAGAATGAACACGAAGACATGAGTATGCACGAGGAGACAGGGGTGACATGTAAGGCGAGAGGGTCTGGGCTGAGGACAATCCGAGGGTAGCTCTCAGTCTCCAATGAATGCCCTGGACTGGGGGAAATAGACAATGTTGTAAATCGAAAACGCAACTTACCACATTGAGAGTGAGCACGGCGTAGATTTTGATTCCCCCGTGGAAATAGCCAAAGAGTATTGACACCGGCAGCAAAACGAAGTCCACGGGATATCGAATGTAGTGCCCCAGAAGCTTGATAAACTTGCTCATGAGCATCCAAGCTCCGAGTATTTGCATAGCCATTGTATGAGCATAAATGTCCCAATCTACCGTGGCTTTGTGGCACAACAAGAGGAGAAGCAAGTCACCCAACAGCGCTGGGGGCGAGAGTGTCGTCAAGTGAACAGCATATGCACTCCAAGGTTGGCGGCTACAAAAGAAATTAGCATACACAAAACCAACAAAGACCAACAGCAGCTTAATGAGAGCTCAGAATATGTCCAAAGTTGCTAGCAAACGTCTCTGTTTCACTCTGTCTCATTGCGCATCGTGAAACAATGATGTACGCTCCCCAAATATGCTCAGAACGGATTGTTGAGGGCAAGCCAAGAAGGGTAGGTACCCTGAGGGCCTGAGGGATGGTTCGAACAAAGGTAAAATGACAAGGTAAACTTACTACCAAACGTGTTTTTCATGAAACATGCTTGTAAGGTTGCTCCGCCAATTGCTTCGAGACCAGCGTGCACATTGTTTCAGGAACTTCGGGTTATTCTCCAGAGTGGTCAAGACCTCGGCCTCAGGGTGGTACTGCATGTAAGTCTCCCAGCCATGAGAGACCATCCAGCGAGTGATGAAGTTATCGTCGTCTGCGTTTAATTGATATTTGCCAAACCACCATTCCTCGTTTGTGAAAGCGTATGTAAATCCTTCATCTTGAAGAATCTTGGTCCTATACGCGACTGTGCGTCCGGACATGCAGGGCAACCCTCCATCTATGTGCGTGGTGGCTGCGCAATCAAAGTTTCGTCGTTCGAGATACAAGGCCCCAAGATATCCCCAGATGCGCTGGGACATGGTGGGTGCAATAGCACGGCGCAGCCGTTGGCAGGTGACCACACCACCGAACCGCTCATCCTTCTCGAAAGGCGCCAGGATCCAAGGAAGTACTGTGCGTGGCCAACTCACATCGTCATCTGCAAAGACGGTGATTTCCGTGCGTACCTCTGGGATTGCTCGTGTCATCTGGCGGCGTTTGTTCGGGTGCGTCACTGTAAACAGACGAATTTTGGACTTTGAAGCAGGCATCAAGCTCAGCATGTGTTCGGCCTTCTTTCTATTCGCCTCGATCGTGACCAGCAATAGTTCGAAGGGATGATTATCGAGAATTGTCCTTATCGTCTCCACAAGTTCATCGCCGCACCCTTCTAGCGTAGGAAGTATCACCGTGACATCTTGGGCAGTGAGCTCCGGGTTCTCGGGAAGAGGAATGGGCTTGAAAGTCCAGAAAGAAACCAAATTTACCACCAGACGAAAGTATCGGTAGATACTACAGGTCAACCGATTCATCAGCACATGCATCCCAATCGCTCTGGGGCTCAAAAAATGAGTGGGAGGCGGAATCGAGGCGGCAATATGGTCCCAAGGAGTATTGACGTGAATGTCACTTACAAAAGAGCAACAAATGCTCGCAGAAATGGAAATTCCATGATTATCGCAACCTTGCAATCACTTACGGATGGATCACTCGGGATTGAAGGCCTAAGGCCAAGGAAGTTGGATGCGAGAATTGCCTTGATCTGCAATCGATCCGCGCAGAATGAAGTATTGGACCAACGAGTAATGTTCGTGAACCAATACGGCGTTGAACACTAATCTTGCAAAGAACCAAGCAATGTTGGTACGGACGAAAAGTGACAATCCAACAATGGCCTCCTATCTAGAAAGGAAGACGTCAGGTTCGGGGGCAAAGGTGGTGACAGGAGATCTCGGGATGTCCGCTTAGGGGAGGAAGCCCAAGCAAAGTTAACGAATGTCTGAAGTAGAAAAGCTTTCACACTCCGAGGTCATGGGAGCGCTCTGCGAAAGAAAAAAAAATGGATGAGGGCGAGACTGCCAGATCAATTGGTTCCTAGAGAGAGTAAGTGCCAACTACTTATGGGCAGGGAAGCAGCATTTGAGACTTTTTCATTGTTGCAAATGGAGACGCTGGAGCGGCGGAATGGCAAGGAAGGCACATGGTCAAGACCGACATCCAGACAATAAATTGAACCAATCCGTAAAGAGAAATATAAATAAGTTACTCGTGGGCTCCAGTTCCTTTGTCATTTCGAGTGTCATGCAGGTGTATTTTTGCCTCGTGCGTCAGAGACCCTGGATCTAGATGGACTGATGGAGGATAGTGAGGGTGGAGAAGGGATTGGCGGCGGCCCATGCATGCAGCTACGTACAGAGTACTACAGTGCAACAGTAGGCTAGTGCTAGCGATATAGTCCAGAGAGTGGAGACTAGTATTATTGCTGGTAGTGGTGGTGGTGGGTGGTGGGTGGTGGGTGGTGGATTGACTCTCGCAGTAAGATGACGAGACCAAAGTCGAAGCTAGCCACTAGTTCTATTTACTAGAAAATTTGTACTTTACCCGGGAGGTGGGGGGGAGCAGAAATAGGGGATGAGGATTGGAGAGAGAAGGGGGGACGATGGGAAAACAAAACAGAGGCCATGCTAGTATAATTCATGATTCTGGTAAATGCCTCTCAAGTTACTTGAAATGGTGCTCTGGGTGAAATAAAGGGAGTACAGAATGTCCCAACTTAAATGTGTCTACGACGTGCTAAAGAAGCTTGTATCTAGAAACAAGTACACAGACTAGCTACATGGTATGTGGGCGAGTAAGTAAATAATTGAGTACTGGCCACTGTGTTAGGAAAAGACCATGCAGACGAGGAGTCATTTTAGCACTATACTTCCTCTTGCTCTTGCCTCTCGGACATATGGCATTTGTCGCGTCGGAGGTCCAAGCTTACATCCACACATATCTGCCTCCCTCCCTCTCTCCCTCTCTCTTCTCTTAAATCCCTGCAGCAGCCGAATGTTACACTAGAGAATTTATGGACATCTAGTCCCCCCAATCCTTTATTATATTGTTGTGTTCACCCTCATAGCCGACTACGTAATCCGCTCGTAAGTCCATTTACACTACTCCGTACTGAGGTGGCTTTTCGACCATATTCGACAGGCAAGAGACGCCGATGAGCCGACAGCCTAAAACAACTAGGGAGAACAATACTGAGTAGGTGGAGGCGATCAGAGTTTGTTTGTCGGCTGGGGGATCAGCCAACTGAACAAGGAATCACAAGTGGGTAAAGTATAGACTAACCTACTGGCAACGGTAACTTAGAAGGTAGCTACTCCATCAAGTACAGTTCAATAAATTCGATCGCAACCTCGAGCTACTCACTGATACTTTCTCAAGGCCGACCTCGGCTCTTGTCGACCTCCAGTGGCAGGTGCGCCAATTCTTCTCCTGTAAAGAAGTTCCTTCATACCCATCGATGACCCTTGGAACAACCATTGGATACGACCCGCAGCTTTCTCTGCTCAAAAGACATGAGAGAAAATGTATCGACGTAAATTGCAAACGCGAGTACAATGACTATGATCAAAGTGAATTAAAGTCCGCTCACAATGTATATCAGCGGAGAGCAGGAAATCAGAGACCTGATTCAATTCCCTACCATGGATCAAGGAGGTACGAAAGACACTAACGGCTGACAATGGACTTCTATTCCTATCGAGATGCAGCATGGCGCATTCGATCTAAAGGCATCATTAACTATAGTGTTGATTAGTACACAAGTTAGGTGTCTAATTATCGAAATTAAAGTAATTGGTTAGCTACGATCGGGGATTTTACTGAAACAAAATAAGGGATGAGGGGTGAAATATGAAGACGGGGATAGCCGTCCAAGTGAGCAAGGAGGAAAGTGGGAAGACAAAAGCACGGAGTAGAAAAAGAGCCAAAAAGAAATCGAATAAAATAGAAAACAAAAAAGGAGGTGGGGGGGGGAAGGGAGGCTGTTAGGGGGGGAAGGAAAAAAAAGTTATACCAGCTTATTCACGTGCTACTCAGACTTCTGTTCAATTAGACACACAGCCCGCATGACACTGCCGGTATTACCATTACCATTCCGGAGGCGGCATCGGGAGTCCGCTGGTCTTCGGGGCTAAGTTTCTTAAGCATCATCACAGCTATCTATCCCTTTGCTCGAGCTTCAATGTGCACATGGTACCAAAAATTCCTTTCTAAACTGCTAGATCTAGTAGTACTACCTTGCCCTTTGTCAAAATTACTCTAGAGTGGCGACCGATCGATGTCCTGTGCTGCTGTTCTGTACTATGATATTTGGAGAGTACAGGGCATGTTAAATTCACCACTGATGGTTGTTCGAATTAAGCCAAAAGGAAAAGGATTAAATCATGCCTGGGATGTATGCCACTCGACAGTAAGCATTACTATCTCCGAAAGGAAAAGGTAAAAACTTGAATCACTACAAAATTTACTAAATGGTATTTATGGAAGGCATTACTTCTACTTCTAGTGCAGTTCACAGGTTGAATCAATCCAATGGGCCTTGAGATCACTAAGACCTGGAGTGCTTGCTGTCTACCTAGAACTCTGGGCAATTTTTTACTGTGCCCGCAGATCTTAAAGCAGTAGATAATGACCAGACAAATACGATGTGCATTCGCACGAGTATAGGTCGGGGCAAAGTGGCTAAGCGACAACTTCCGGGCGTCCTGGAACAAAGGTCCACAACAAGCGACAGGTATGTTATCCCTTCAAAGCTCATTCAAAGAGGAGTGGATTCCTGACATCTATCAGTGGCGCCTGTGACTATTGAAGATGAACTGACCTAGACAGCCGGTAGTCGAGAACTAGGAGGGAGCACGTACCAACCCGAGGCCCATCCGTGATTCTATCAATATCAACGATGCAGCTTACTCGACCGGCGACTGAGTCTCGAGGGTTTAGCATCTGATGCACTGTTGTCCCGATCGATGGCCTGGAGCATTGGCCCGGAGAGAAAACGAGCTTTTAACTACAATGCCTGGTGGAATGATTTTAATTTATGGTTGACTACTTACATGGTAGATCTGCCTTACTGATCGATTGAACCACAGCTGACGGCATAACCATGCAAACCTCAAAGCTGTAAATGTGCAAGCCAATTGGTGATCCTAGTGGCGATCTCTCAAACCCGTCTGACGAGCCCACCGGCCGCACTCATATGGCCTATGATAGCCTTCACAGAAACAGGTCGTGGAGCCTGGGTGGGGAATAGAGCAACATTAGCATATGCTGATAATACCTCACGTAGTAGTGCTCATAACACTAGTACAAGTCCGTGTTATGTGGTCGATGCTCATGCTATACTCACTACATTCAACAGAATGCGGCTGGGCGACTTCCATTTTTCGGTGGACCATGAGAAAATCAATTGCTATGGTAAAGCCTTGGGTTGAGAAGGGAGCTTGCTCCCATCGCAAGATCGATACTTAGGGGCGGCACATTGATCGCTGGCTTCATGGATTCACATCCAGAGGTTTGACAGATGGCTCGTGCGTGCATCTTGTTTGTGGCAAAACTTGGCCCTTATCCTCCGGTAAAATTACACTTACGTATACTCCGCAGGCGTAATTCCCTTCTTGCCCCAGATAGTTTCAATAGCGGCACAGAAACGGAAATGAAAAAAGCTACCTAGGAGGTAGGTAGTAGTACACTAGTAAGGCAATCGCCTTGGCTGGGAGCAGTTCTAGAACTGCTAGGGACATTGAATTGATGTCGCCTCTCGCCAACTAGATCATTTTTCTACTACTACCAAGCAGGACTTGCAACAAGATTGGGGTCTTTAACCCACTTGCTACACCCTTGGCTTGTCCGTTCTCGGAGCCCACCAGTCTGGTCACCCTTCTATGGTGTAGGTTATACATGAGAACCGACGTTACTTATCTCGCTGCTGGGAGTCTTGGCCTCGATACTCTTATGCAGTTACGTTGGAGAGCAACACAAGTAATTGAGTTGTTACCAAGTCAGACGGCGTTTTCGTAGAATTCATCTCTTAATAGTATAATCAGGACCGCTGTTCACACTTTAGCTCCAAATATAGAGCGACTAGTATTGTGCTGTACAGACCACAGACGTAGCATAGAGATGCTTCAAGGATCCACCCATTTTCCTTGCTCTCATTGAACCGCTTCTGCGTTTGCTTATCATAACATGAACGTGCGGCCCGAGCTCCACCTCTTGTCTAAGGATAGACTCGCATTATCCCAACAATTCTGGCTTGGCGCACAACAATTCTGTGGGCTTTTCGTGATCGTGCAATCGTATGTCTGTTATCTAGGGATGCCTTCTTTCCGCAGACTACTCCCGGAATGGCAGTTGCATGGACAATGGATGGATCCTACCTTTCCTTGCTAGTGTGCTAGGTGAATTGTAGCCCGCCAGCCTTACTAGTGGCTGCAGATGGAAGTGGATGCTCCTGCAAGTCACCTTAAACGGTTATGTGCTTCAGAACTCGGCGGGGCTGTTGCAGGCTTGCAGATAGTGTCACGTACTCAACAGAAAGCTTCCAAGCTAACCTGGTATTCTCTTAACGGTAAGTGAGAGCAAAGTGTTCTATGATTGAGCAGTCGAATCTAGTTGCGAAAAATGTTTGTATTTGTTGTGATGGGAGATTTACGGACTCCGAGGACTGCCCGACTGACTAGGCCCGGTATAGAAGTGAGTGTTTTTACCAAATGACAGCGCAATAAATTCTCGTATATTACCGCCCGTGTATGGACTTCGTCTTGACTCGGCACTAAATACGGTTCGGAGGATTACACGAACATCCGGAAGATGTAGCCAGACACGTACTGTACATAGTACGTCCGTGCGGGTCAAGTCTGCCGATTTGCTGCTCGACCCTTTTCGAGTGCTCTGCATGTACAGTACGGTACTGTACTTAGCTCATTCCTCTTGGCTCTAGGTAGTCAGAAATCCGTTCGTTCAACTGAGGTGACAGGGGTTTAGTGATCTAATGAGTATTTACAAGTTCTAATTAATGAGTCCTGTTTTGATTTCTCCTCGGTCAGTTACCACAACTTTCACAGCAAGGGCGTAGAGCTGATCTGCCTAACATGACTTGCCCACGGTGTGGCTTGGACATATAGGCGAGTAAAAAAGACGCGTACAGGACATATCTCGGCTGCTGCACGGACATATCTGGTATTATGTACTAGACTCCGTCTCTCTCCACATATACCCGGAAATGACCGAGGAAGTATCCATTCCGGCGCGCCCACAACAATTCGCTGCTCGTATGTTGTGATGGGCACCCTGAGTACGTACAGAAAGAAGTCGCGAATCGGGTCATATTAGTCAGGTCGTATTAGTCAGCTGTTGTTATACAGAGCATGCAGTACTACAGGGTATGAGTTAAAGGTTGGTGTTCAGTGCTTGTACTAGTAGCTAAATAAGAAGGTTGAAATCTTATCTAATCACACATCCCTCGATGTTGTCCAATTGATTCGTGACCAGGTTCATGATTCAGTGTGAGGATTGGCTACTAATAAGCTAGGTTTTGCACAACACATAATATGCCGTGCTCAGAAAATTAAGTAGCCTATCCACCAGAGATTTCAAATAGCTCAATATGTACTGTATTGTGCATAGGTGTGTGCAGACATCCTGACCTTCAAATGAAATAGTTTACATGTCATCTACCGGCGGATGCTTGTAACAAGAGTGAGATGCATACTTAGCCCATTATCAACGGACGCCGGTTTGCCTATCAAGGCTATATTAATGATCACCGAAGTGCTCACTGCGACCTGCCTCAGAGGCCTAAACTTCTATATGAAGTGCCGCTTACACTGGCATTATCTTTTACCCGCATACCAAGGTCGCGCTTATCAGGAAAGTATGACAGATTCCGTTCCCCATCGATCAACGAGGGAGATGACATGCAGCGTATGCGGTCGATCAGCACGCCAGCCGTGTTTATACGACACCACTCGATCTAGCTATCCGAATCCGTACTTATCTAGACTCGAGGTGAAAATATGCGCAAGCTGATATCACGCAACTTTGCTCGGGTATGAGAAAGGGGCCTATGATTCACTCGGCCGTGGCTTTGTTAAATAAATTGCCGGGAATAGCTTTCCAACGTAGGCCTCGTCTTACAGAGCGATACACTCGGTAGACCTACAGTCTTCAGACTGACTCCGTTTGAGTGATAATATCTTCTGGTGAGGGCGGACTGTGCACATTTTAGCGCAGCCTAGTATTTAGCGCAGCCTAGTACTTACTGGTGGGATCCTCTTCCATGTAAGTTACAGTACGCAGTACATACCCATACAAGAATACTCGTATGTAGGAGTAAATGGGGGGGCCGCACATGCTATGGGGCAATTCTTTGCTGCAAGTGAACCCGCTTCCACAATAAGCGTCCGATTGTTGGCAGAACACTGCAAAGCCTGCGGCCTGCACGTTACGGATTCGGCAGCGATGAGCGAGGGGAAACTGACTACTCCGTAGTCGTTAGACTAGGTTGGCACTATTCATTTATCTAGACGCCGTGGACCGGCTATTCAGGAAGCTTGCTGCCTTTAGACAGACACATAGCACTCCTAGTCATGTTCCGAATTTCGGCCAAGCTTGAGTGAATACCTAGTGATTGATAGCAGAAATGCATGGCATTACTAACCAAACAGAAGACGTACAGGGAACGGTCCCAACGAATGCAGATGAGTGGCAGGGCAGACACGGTTTACTTAAGAGTCCTCGTACATACAGCATTGTAACGTGGGGTGCAAATTGATCTACTTCCAATGCCGACAAGCCACACCACTGCGAGTACGGGCATTCATACTCTATTACTCTTTCTATAGGGCTTTTGGACTTCCACATGATATCTCCATTCCAAATGTGGAGTGTCAGGTTGGTCCTCCGTAAGCTTCATGCTGTGTCTTGCAATATCCTCAATAAGGTGGTGATCAAGTGCAAAGATTGAAGACGGGTGATTTGTGGCATTGCATGTATAACTACCGGATAGCATGGGCCGGGATTGAGCAGGGCGTTAGGCAACCCGCTTCAGCCTGCTCTCTCTAGCTACTACATGAGCATTTGTAGTATTTGCTATTGGGGGGCATGGGGGTGCTACGGGTCACTGAAGCTTGGCCAAGTCATCTGTGGTTTCCCAGTTCCCTCACAGAGAGGCGTTCTAAGTTCAACTTGCTTCGCAAATATACGAGTGGTACGGAGTAGATGGCAGCTACTGCAGCAGGATACCACTCTGGTCGTTCCACTCCACTACGGAAAATGTAGTACCTACTCCACGAACTGCGCACTCATATCCTGAATTTGTCTTTTTAGCATCCCTCTTCTTTTAACCTCCAATTTGCGAAAGCCGTGAAAATTCCTGGGGGAAGAATTACCAGGCGGTGTCCGGACCGACATTTGTACATACAGTACCATGATTAAGCACCAAGCTACTTACAGTACGATACAATAACCGAATCAAAGCAGCAGTCCGCAGCGATCCTGTCAACCTCTTTTGGCCATAAATCACAATCGATTGACGGATGTTTTTGGACTGGAGAGTCATGCATGTGCAAATTTACAAGTTGACTCCAATACAACAACAAGCTGGGTAACTAGTTCCATACTGTATTGTACGCACTGTACTATACATACATTCCGATTGGGGTACCGTAGATCTGCCGGCTTCTTCTAGTCTCATCTGCAACTACATCATATTCATAATCTTCCAAGGCGGACGAGACATGACTATCTGATAATTACTATGGCTACTATGCTACATACCCCAATTCCATTTATCGGCAAGCAGCGCCATAGGGATGGTCCGATTTCTTCTTCTATCTCGAGAATGAGTGCTCATCAGTCCCCATTGATGAAGGCTATACAGGAGTATAGGAGATGCATGATCTGTCTGAGGTGTGACGTCAGTGCTCGCATATCGGCTTAAGAACATGTCCTCCCCCCCTGTCATGGTTCCCGTCGTCCGTTCACAGCATCAGCGGAAATGCAGTTAAACTCCCCCCGTACACTAATGTATTGAGCATGTGCATCAGCAGGGCAATCCCCAGCCAATCTGCAGGTCTCTTTCTAGAAGATATCATTTCTTAGCGTTGGGGGTGCATGTCGAGTACTAGCTGCCTATTCTGTTCATCTTTGCCCCCACCTTAGCTGTCAGGTTATTCTGCCGACTTGGCTTTTCACGACTTGCTAGTTTTCATATATATTGATTGATTTATCATCAAAGGCAGGTCCAGTTTTGCCTGCATGTGCGCACATATAGGAATGTGCAGCAATACGGCAGAATACATTTGTTCCTGCCTGTACTGCAGGATTCTTCGAATCCTTCCCATGCGAGCATAAGAGTTCATTACTAAGGTGTATCCCAAGGCTTTACTCCGACTCCGAGGTCCAGTTGAGCCAGAGTCGTAGTGCAAACAAACGAGTTGCAATATACGTACGCCAGCATCGAGGCTAACAAACGTGTGAGTAAATCAAACAACATATGATGGAGTCCATAACCAAGCTGTGGGATTAAACTCCACAACAAACTCCACCACTCCAAAAAGACCTACAGCCCCATACAGGTCGAAATCTCCTTCTAACCCCTGAATTCCACCGGAGTCCTCATCTCTTTCCTCAGCAAGATCCCAAGCCCCCACCTGTTGTCCATCACGAGCAAAGCAGACGGTTACATCAACTCTATTTTTATCGCATGACTGTCGAAACAACATTCCTAGGCCAACCGTTTCTCCTTCGCGGAATTCACTTGTAAAAGGCTTCCCGCCCCAGGAGTCATTCACAAAGCGACAGCCATCATCAGAGAAGACGCCGAGACTCCCTCGCTCCCAGCCGGGAGACCTCCAAGATGGATATGGCTTTGCCACATATCCAATAGCGAGCCCGCTAGATTCGGCAGGCCTGCTGCTGGACCTTGCGCCGAGGCCTAGTAATTTGACTTCGAAGTAGATTGACTTGACCATATTTGTGCGAAGAGGGGAGTCGATCAGAGAGAAGTAAAGAGGCAAGTTAGTTGTCAGTATAGAGTCATTGTTTCCGTGGCCCGTGGAGCCCGTCCAACGACCCTGATGAGCAACATGCACATTGCCATGAAACTCCAACGGCCATACTGGGGTCAAATCATAATGCTCCACAGATCTGTAAGCAGCAACGGATGGCACCGCTGGGGGATCTAGTGGGTGTGCATCACAGAACTCGTGCGCACGCAAAGCGTCATGGGAGGAGGCATTGCCAGTAGATGAGTAAAGGTAACTCGCTGCTGGTGGAGGCAAGCTATCTTCTTCTGGAGACTCTTGCCAGTTGTGGTATGGAGAAGGAGCCGGAGGCTGTAGGAATGTGTTCGCCGACGATGAAGCGACAACATATGCATAATCCGGCGGGGACTCCTGGCATACGTTCTTGGGTTGTTGATTCATTTGAACACTCGAATCGAACTTTCACTTATATGTCACGTTTGATACTTCGTATATCGTCACCCTCTGCCACCTTGCTGTCTGTTCTCTTCTTGAAAAATGCGTCACAAAATGATCAGAAGAGTGAGCCGATATTCAAACATCCAAATATTTTGATTGCCACACCACTATGGTATGTAGTCATAGCACAGTTGAAGTTGATGGCCGATAGAGGCTTGGACTTGCTCCGTGGGTGGCAGATGAGTGTGTGGGTCTCGGCAGGGCTCCTTAATACATACTGTAAAGTTATTTGTGTGGTTCTTCAGGCCCCACCTCCGGGGTCAGCTGTATGTCACATGCACCCGTACAGTACAGTACAGTACAGTACAGTACATTGTCTTGAACGAACTCGATAATCAAGAAATGCGGAGAGATTTATCATCAATCGCCCTGAATATCGATCTGCACACGTAATTTGAAAACTCATTGCAACACCTTCTGGCTCTGCAGCTTATGTTTCATGCATATGATGGAATAGAAAAGACTTGCCCCTTGTTTGCCGTCTCCCCTTACGCGCTCATCTCACTCGGTTGCACTCTCCGGTCCCTTACATGAATCTTTAAAAACCACTACTTATACTACGAGTATGTACAGTATGTATGTACTATCTAACTGCTCACTAAGTTAGAGCGTGCATGCATCAATGCCCAATGAGCCCGGCAGAGTCTTCCTACGTTGTGAAATCTAGGCCTGCGAACCTCGCCCCCCGATTATCATGCCACTCTGATGCTCCTGAGAGTTTAGGGCCAAGGATACTAGGTAGAGAGGAGTCTGAGAAAGCAAATGAAACAAAACAGTCAAAAGAGCTCATTCATGGATGAAGCATCGATTCGGACCTCGACCGGCGTGACATCAGACCCTTGCAGCTGACCCGCCATCTTCTTACCCATGTTTGTGGGATCCGAGCTTCGCGTGCTGCTGGCCTGCAGCTGGTGAGGCGGCTGAAACCGCTGTTGCAGTTTGTTCAGCCCCCGACCTCCCTACTTTGTGCTAATCGCCTTTCACAACTCGCCTTACACCCCTAGCAGGTCCCTCACCAGTACGAGGACTTCTATCTGGCCCAGCCCTACAACTAAGAGCGATTGGTGATATTCATGACTAGGCTCGGTTCAGGTTGTCTCTCCGCCAGTGAACGCCTTGTGCTATGATTCCCCCAACCAGTCACCTTTTGCTGCCGGATCTATGTCGCAAAGATGAAGCAGGATCAGAACAGCCACTTGAGTAGAAGGCCACGCAGACCGTCTATCACTCAGCAAATTCAGCGGGCACTCGGCTTTGACAAGCAAACACATGTGAGTATCATGTCCTCGTACATATACCTCATGTCTGTCATATCGACAAAGCACTTTTGGACGCTGATTCTTCCGAAAGCAGCCCCAGGGCAAGCAATGCCAAAGTCCGAAGGCCACTCCCCAGACAACAAGGTCCGAGCCAGAAAAAGCAGCCACCCAGCGATCAAATTCGAATTCTTCAAGCAGCAGTGGGCATTCTCAGATAAGTACGGAGGAGGGTCAACATGAAGATTCGAGGCAGTCAATCGGAGACGTTAGGGCCAAGAGACTATCAGCATCGCTATTCAACGCGTATCCATTAAAAAGGACGGGATACTCTTTTGAAGGCGACATTGCGGTAACACTTGATAACAAGACCCCGGCGAAGGGACACAGTGGCGCTCCCAGGAACAAAGAGACTCGGGCTACGAAGCGTTTGGAAGCAGATCGGGCAGAGCTCGAGAAACAACTCCTCAGGCTCGAACAGGCCGGGGAATCCAGAACATCCCGTCTGTTGAAAAGGGAAACCCGCCGACTTTCCAAAAAACAACCTTTGGACAGGTGGAGCAGGGCGTCGAGTGCGAGTGCGGATGATTCTCGGTCCTCGGCTAGGCTTTCTTCCATGTTCTCCATTTCAAGGCGCTCATCGCGCTCTCGACCGAGCTCGGCGCACGAGGCTGACCGGGGACTATGCCAACAGTCACCTAGCACCGCAAAGTCAAGGCCGAATGCTGACTTGTATCCAGGGAATCGGGCGGTGTTAAAAGTACCAGAGCGATTCAGCATTGCGCTATCGAAAGAGCTCACTGCGGAAAATGCATTGCTTTCATATCACAAGGACGGTCCTCCGGGGAAGCCTACCCATTCGACCGTAGACTATGATCTGAACGAGATCAGCAAATCGCGGCTGCCCCACGAGTGTCTGGTCCACGAGACAAGGCAGGGGCCAGCCGCATATAGAAACGAGAGTCATACTTCCTCATCAGCAAAGCCCGAGCTAAAAGCCCCAAAAGCGTCGCAACAAACAAGAGACTTGGATCGTACCTCGTTTTCAGCGGTCCTGAATATAGAGACAAGGATCCCTGAGGTTGTTCAGACCTCTGGGCGTCTACTGCCAAATATAAAATCCGCTATCAAAGACACCCAAGACACCCGCGCAGATTTGGTTTATAACCACGGGCACACCCGTTCATATGAAGTCGAGCAGTCCGCTGCAAGGCCTCAGCACCCCAATGACTTCACCACTTCACAACAAGAACCCTGGAAAGCTAGTTCGGCAAGGCCTTCCAATAACAGACAGTTCCAGAGGCAATATAGAAAATATCAGTCATCGCCCCTGGTGGAGACCTCGGTGGGTGACTTGGCGAGCGGACCAGCTTTAACCAATCCAACCTCATTCAAACCAACCACCCAATTCACAGTTGAGAAAATGAAACAAGTCTACTCAAAAGGGTTGGAAAATAGCATAATTGTCAGATCAAGCCCAGTGCGACCGCTTTCGATAAATCATCAAGGCCTTGGCGCTTCATCTGAAAGAGCAAAGATTCACAGACCTGCATATAAGTATTGCGACGGTGACCGGCCAATATTCTCAAACAGACGCCCTCAATATACCTCCAATGATAATGTGCATAGGATTCAAGATGAGAGAATAAATTCGTTGGCATCAAGTATGGCTGAATCCGGGCATTCGCATGATGGGAGAGCAAACCTTCACTCTCGGGCTTCAGTCAGCTACAGCGCTGGCGTCGGGCGGAGCAAGACCAAGGCCATGTGCAAGCTAAACTCTTACCTCGATCATGAGACATGTCTCACTAAGTCCAAATGGACTTCAGAGGTACAGAATCCACAAGTCACCCACACATATCCTGTCGATCAACCACAGCCATTTGACTGTTCTCTGTCTTCATTGGACAATTCATCTCGCGAGATGTCGGCAGATGATTACAACACGGCGGATGAGGGTCTTTCCGTCGCTTCACAATCAATATATGAGAATGACTCTCCCGCAATTTGTCCAAAAAATCCTGAAATTGAAAATTCTAGGCATGACTTTAGTGCTTGTCTTTCACCAGCACGGAAGCAAGCACCACCCGCGATATCTGGTACTTTGCTGATACAAACCAAAAACTCCGGCGGCCAGCCGAAATACTGCCCAGGTCGGCATGTTTCTAAGGTATTTCTTATCTGCTGCGTTTGTGGGCAATGGCATGATATTCCTTCGCAAATGTATTCAGAGTACCTCTATAGTCAGGATCATCCCACTCCAACAAAACACGAATGTCCGACAGAGGAAAGAGAAGCAGCTGTCACCGATAAGGAGAATGATCTTGCTATGTCCAGAAGCGGGCAATCGAGGCAATCTATCAGCCAACCAGGTACCCGTAGCGCATCCGACAGACTAAGTATAGCAGCTCACTCGCTTCATAGCTGCTGGTGCGGACACAAGATGAGCCAAGCATGTTGCGAAGGATGGAGTACTGTTGTCCATTTACGCAAGAGGTGCCACTAAATCACGAACCTTGTTGGCAGATTCAAATTGATGTCTTCTTTCTGCATTCTCGCGCCACGGACAGCATTGGTTTTCTTGCGATCAGCGAGCCTTAGTGGCGTGCTCTTATAAATCGTCTTTAGCTCTCAATCAGATTTAAATGATGGTCGGAGAGCCTTATCTGTTTCTTCATGAACATATGTAGCAAACCTTGGCCTAAGATCCCTCAACTCATTTCCTTGTGACAAGACTTGTGTGCGGAGTAGCAATGAATTGGAAGGCAGATTTGGGATTTGATGTGTGGGCTCGTATTGTGGCGGGCAATCGATAGTTGCCTTTAGTGTGGAGCCTGCGCAGGGGTACTGTACAGTCTACAATACGTGGTACTGTACGGTCTACATCAGTAACTTTGACCTGCCTCGTCACCTTTCTTCTTCCCTTCGCCTTCACAACATCCGAGTCTCTCCTTTAGATGGCTCTTGTTTGGCGCCATGGTGCGTCAAAGGAGCTTCTCGAATGCTTCCTCAGCTACATCTTTCCAGGCTGAGAGGAACCAGGTATGCGATCTTCTCATTATGCCCCTTACGTTACATACACATGACGCTCCTCACCCTCAACTGGAATCGATGTAGTCGTTGTGCCAGAAGCTGCTCGTTTTGCTCCAGGACTGACCGGTCGCTTTATCTTCCCCCCCCCTTATTTTAGGAACTGGAGAGTATGTACGATTATTTGGCTAAGGTAATCCTTCTTGGGCCAAGCGGGGCTGGAAAGTAAGTCCCTATGGAATTCACTGAACGCCAATAAAGCTCATCACTCGCTCACTTATCCATGACAACCAAGGTCCTGTGTGTTACATCGCTTTGTGAAGAATGAATGTAGGGTTTCAACCTCTGACCTAGCCTATGTATACATTCGTCCCGAGCTGGTAGCCTGGCTTGCTAACAGATTGTGTGCGTCTAGGGAGAGTGCTGTCTTCGCAAACGATCGGGGTGGAATTCTCCTCCCGGATAGTCAAATTAGGCACCGGCTCCCGGCGAACAAGAATCAAATTCCAGCTATGGGATACGGCTGGAACGGAGAGGTTTCGATCTGTCTCCAGATCCTACTACCGAGGGGCTGCGGGGGCCATCCTCATTTATGATGTATCCTCCCAGGCCTCATTCACGTCCCTTCCGACATTCCTAATGGATGCGCGTGCTCTCGCTTCCCCCAATCTCACAGTCCTGCTCGCGGGGAACAAAGCAGATCTTAACTCGGATGCCATGCAACATAATAACAGCTTCGATGATAGCTCCCGGCCGCCTCCTACACCGTCTAGCACGTCCAGCAAGCATTCTTCTTTCCTCCCAGACTCTACCGGCGGGTCTGTTCGTTCTACAGTGTTCTATGAAGCAGGAACAAGGTTAACAGCGACAAACACTTTGCACGGTCGCGAAGTCAGCACTGAAAACGTGTCACGCTGGGCAGCCAAATCCGGTATCCCGGTAGCTGTCGAAATTTCAGCCCTTACCGGCGAGGGTGTGGAAGAGTTGTTCAACCGGCTGGCCCGGATAATTCTCACAAAGATTGAATTAGGAGAGATCGATCCTGATGACCCACAAAGTGGAATCCAATACGGGGATGGTGGCTATGGTCCCAGCGCCAGTGATGGATCTAGTATTCGGAGTCGAACAACGCTCGATGATGGTTCTGTCCAGATGCGTCGTCGGTACAACAGAGCTGAAGCCGACAATAGCCGAAGAGGTGGTTTGAGAGAATGGGAAGACGTGTTTAGGTTGAGCGACTCTCATCGAAGAAAAGATGGTAGATGTTGCTGACCTGCTGCCTGTTATCGTCGCGACTGTGCAGCTCGGAGCTCGAATACAGTCTTCCTCATTCGATATCACTATAACGGAGAGTGGGCCGACCACCGATCATACCCCTCGGTCACCGTTCATTTTGTGAAATCTCTGGAAATAACAATTGACTAGCTTGTGTCTCTGCCTCATCCAGGAGATAGTCTGATCTCGCTCGGAACTTCTCTCTCCCAATTCAATCAGCACGATACCCTAATTGCATTCGCTGGCTGTTCTTCGCAGACTAAACGACCCCGTGATTAAGTGTCCTGTACTGAGTTGTCTTCCTGGAGTTCTTTGGCTTCAAACCCTAGCTCAATCTTAAATCATTTTCTACATGGCAAATAACATCTTGGTGGCCCACACTCGTTGCTACTTACCCCCAAAGCGACTGAATTTGAATCTTATGACGACGCTTATATCATCACTACAAGCCCGAGGATAGTTAGACCTTATACTACTGGAAGCGGGAGATCTTTGAAAACCCCGGTCGAGCCTTGGTATCAATTGTACCCAGTTCGTGTCTAGGACTCTATACCAGCGATAAGTGTCTTAATACCTTTTCCAGCCTTGACCTCTTCGAATGCCCGTTCAGCATCTTCAAAATTGACAGTACCAGTGATCAAATCCTTGACATTCACTTTGCCCGAGGCAACAAGCGATACTGCAAGCTTATAATCACCACTACCATAACGGAAACTGCCCTTCACGTTCAATTCCTTGGTGCATGCAGCCATGATCGGAAAGGTGATCTCACTCCTTCCCATGCCGCCCTGTACGTACGTTCCGCCAGCGCGGACGACGTGTATTCCAGTGTGCACAGATGGCTCTGCTCCGGATGCATCGATTGCTACATCTGCGCCCGAGCCTAGGTCATTTTCCTCGATGATTCTCTTCGCATTGTCCGAGGGGCTGGCTTTAAACGGCTCATATGTTGAAGTTGCTGCGTAGCTTGCGGCAAAGTTGAGTCTCGGCTTCTGGATATCCACGGCAATAACCTTGGACGCGCCGTACGCCTTCGCTACAGCGCAGCACAGGAGCCCCACTGGTCCAGCACCGAATACAACCACCGATTGGCCAGGTTTAACATCTGCCTGCTTGACGATGTGTACCGCGACACCAAGGGGCTCCATGAGTGCAGCCTCTTGCAAGGTAATACTGTCTGGGACCTTGTAGCAGAAGTCCTCGGGCAGAACGTAGTACCTGGCGAGGGTGCCATCGTATGGGGGGGTCGCGGCAAATGCCATTTTCTCACACAGGTTATATTTCCCAGACTTGCACGGTTCACAGCGACGGCAAGGGACGCCGGGTTCAAGTGCAACACGATCTCCCACCTTCAACCCCGTGACCGCCGAGCCGACCCTGCGAACAATGCCTGATGATTCATGGCCTAGCACCATAGGGTCTTTGACGACGAATTGGCCGATGGAACCATGCTCCCAGTAGTGAACCTAGCGATTGTACCGAAGTCAGTTTGAAGCTCGACTCATCTGTCCAAGCGCGATCGATACAGCGCTATCAATAGAACGTACATCGCTCCCGCATATACCCGTGAACTTGACATTCACGAGGACATCGTGGGGTCCTTTCAATTCAGGGACCGGACGATCTTCGAACTTGACCCGATGAATGCCTTCCAATACGAACGAGAGGTTCTATATATGTTGGGTTTCCTACATTAGCAATTGCCAATTCCCGACCCGCTATACAGGTGTATGCTTCTCAAAGAACGTGTCTTCTTGCTTACTTGAGCAGTGGCTGTTTGGGCAGACATCTTCGGCAAATTTACACCTGATTTTTGCAATGAGCCGAGGAGATGAGATAGGTATAATAGTGACTTTTTGAGCAGTGCGGTAGAAGAAGGCTGGGCTCTGGATCAGAGGGTGAGGTGGTAAAATGGAACACGTCCAAGACACACTCTGATGTCTTAAGTGGGCTAACAGAAGCAGAAGGTGGGAGAGAATGTTTGGAGTGGCACAACTGTGAAAATGAAAAATGAAAAATGAGAGCAGGAGGAACTTAAATAACAATTGGCAGGCTTTCAACCGACAAAGGATAATCAAGATAGCTACGTATTGATGGGTGTAGTGGTGGGGGAGGAGGGGGTGGGTAAGATTGTTGAACAGGCGATGATCCAATTGTCTTGATTGACCCTAATTTTTCTCCGAGCAACCTGCATGGGTCTAGCCAAGCAATAGAGATGATTTACCCTTCTTCACAAGCCATTATGATGGAGCTATATCAACACTAGTACGATAATTTGGAAGCTCAGGTGAACTACAGTTGAGACGGCAGGATAATATGGCGGGGTAAGTATGACCGCAGATGGGGGGAAAAGGAGTCGGCATGAAGCCCGGCTGATTACCAATTGGTGGATTGTTTGCAATTTAACCGGTATTTGAGAGTCGAGACTTTGACTCACTAAATATGTATGTACAGTACTAGGTAGGGATGGAGTGGTGTACCCTACAGGCAGGTTTTTAGCCGGTTCATTATCACATGATCAGTTGGGAATAGTGGATAGGTACTTACTCCGTGCTGGTATTCTTTACCAACCTATACATACTGTACATACGGGTATTCAATTTCGACATGTACTTACTATACCTTACACTGGGCAGTTCAGTTGGGTTTCCCGGTTTGGCTTAGTCATGGCTAATGTAGCTCACTAAGCGTAACAAGCTCAACTTGTTACATGCTTTAAGGTACTGATTCTCTACAAACGGTCTCCAGCAATAGGATGTCAACGTCCTAAAAAACAAGAATTGCTCTCATCATTTTCATGCTGACCCCGACTCTCAAGATGATTAGGTCCTACCCCTTCCGTGCCTCGTTGCGGACAAGGTACACTCTACAACTGAGAGCGGGCGTTCGCTACACCAAACTTGCACCGGTAGAACTTCAGCGGAGGGTGTTCTGCAAATCCACCCGTTATGCCTCGGAGGAAAAGTCTCAGTCTTTCAAGCATCAGTTATATGAGAGCACACAACAGCGCCTCAGGAGGGAGCGTGCCGAGCAGGAGCGTTACTCAGAGTATCAGACCCAATCCCAGGGTGGTCGCTATGCAGCTATGATGTTCGGTATGCGAATCATCCACCTCTACAATGAGATGTTTCCCTTGGGTTCTATTGTGTGACAAGTCTCTCTGATGCCGCATGTCTAGCATTGACCTTCTTCTCCGCCGGGGCTTACTTCTTAGGGTCCCTGAAACCCGCGAGCTTGCCTACGTCATCAACAACACCTATATATGAAGCAGAGCCACCAAGACACAACGTCTCGCCGTCAAATCTACAGGCTGCGTGGGCAGACTTTGTTGATATCATAGGGAAAGAGAACGTCTCTACGGAACACAATGACTTGGAGATCCATTCGGGGTCTGACTGGTCTTCATATGCGCCGAAGACTGATGAAAAGCCCTTCTTGGTTCTTTATCCCTCAACCACGGCAGAGGTCTCTCAAATCATGCAGGTGTGCCATAAGCGGCTAATCCCTGTCACGCCGTACTCTGGTGGGACAAGCTTGGAAGGACATTTTGCACCCACGAGAGGCGGTGTTTGCATCGACTTCCGT